AGCCCAGCCCGGGGCGCCGCCGCCCGGAGCCTCCCCGCCACCGCCCCGGGGTGCGCGCGGCGCAGACATGAACACCAGCGACGCCAAGGAGTACCTGGCCCGCAGGGAAATCCCTCAGCTGTTCGAGGTAAGGGTGCGCGGGACAGAGGACCGGGGAGGGCTCCCCGGGGCTCAGGGCGAGCAGTTGCGCCCGGTCCTGCCTTCCCGGGCGCGGAAATGGGGCGCTCGCTGAGGATCGCCTTTCCCGCGGTTGCCGGGTCCTTGGCCGATGGCTGGGTCAGAAGCCCGCACCCCACAGATCAAGTTTGCCTCTTCAGAGCGGGTTCCGGAGGCAGGGTGGCCCCGCGCGCCCCTCGGATGCGGCCCCCGGGTGGGCTGCAGGCAGCGGCCTGGCCGCGCTCGCGGGGGCACGAGTCAGGCCAGGGGAGCGCACGGTTGCCCGCGTGGGTCAAGGAGAGGAAACTGGGGGATCCTGAGCCCAGGTCCTCTGGGCGCCAAGATCGGGGCTCCTGCAGGGAAAGGGGTGTGGAGGAAAGCAGCCCGAGGGGGTGGGCGCTGGAGGAGAGAGATGAAAATGCAGAAAACAAACCCCAGCCCGTCAAGTGCAGCGCAGCCTCCCGGCGACAGCTCCCGGGGCTGTGCTGCCGCGCGCTGTCGGAGAAGGATCGGGGAGCACCTGGCCGAGGCGCCACAGAGGGTCTCCCCAGCCCACCTGCAGACGGCGGGTCCGGGGCGGGGCGGCGGCGAGGCAAGAGCGACTCCTCTTGCAGTCCTCAGACCGCATCGGAGCGCCCCGAGCACCGGGGTCCGCGAGGCGGGGGACGCTTTGAGAATGTGGGAAGAGGCTTGGAAAAGCGCTCGGGCAGCTTGCTTAGTTCTGAGCCGCAGCCTCCGTCTCGGATCCGCTTGCCTCCTTTCTTTCTCTTCCTATTTGAATCTTAAAAAGAACATTCCTAAATCCTAACCGGTTATGCTTGGGTTAAAACCAAAACAAAACAGAAAAAGACTGGAATGGAGACAGGCTTGGCAGGGCGAGCCCGAAAGGGGATCTCCATTCACTGCAAACCTGACCTCCCATGTGTAGAAAAAGATTCACGGACGTGGTCAACGGAAGATAATGAGTTGCTCTTTCCTGTTTGGGGGATTTATTCTGTTAATTAAAAGGAATTTTAAAAGACCACTTGGGAAAATAATTTGCCACATTCCCCCTACCCCAAACTGTCTTTTAAATGGGCTGCCGAAATTATAGATCTTTGCTGCTGATTTGAGGTTATTTGGATTCAAGATTTACGGGGAAGCCACCCACTGAGCTCAAGGTGGTGGTGTGAAGCTCAAATCCGGCAAGTGTGTCACTCATGCCTGACAGTAATCAGGGGGTGCCGCATAAAGACAGGTCTTAGCAGTGTGTGGTAATCAGGAGCTTTGTTTCTTTTTTTAATTCTCTAAAAGTAAATAAGGAGATGAAGAGTTGAAGGGTCTTTGTCACTAGTTTGACTGCAGAGCTCACTTTCATTTCTACATTTCCAAAAGAATAACTAGAAACATCTGTAGTAGGACCACTAGATCGCAAACGACTGCATTTATAAATAGTCTCCCTTCTTTGTAAATGTGGACTCCGCTTTGCCTCCTTGGTGGATGGTAACCATAGAGAATAAGAAGAGTTTGTTCATGAAAATCTACTCTGTGTGTGCAAACAGGTGAAGGCAGGCATTTCTTGTTCAGGTCTTATCTCCCATTGGCTTTCTTGCATGCGAAGGCGAGGTTTTAAAATAGTGCACTCCCTAAACAGAAAGCCCACAGGCCTCGGTGAAACCAGGCAGACAGAGCACTTAGAGTCAATCCTGGACAATAGGAAGATGGGAGGTGATGACCTCAAAGGCTCCCTCCTTCCAGTAAAATGAATCTGCGCTTGCACGCTGCAAGAGAAAAGCCAAATCTGGCAATTTTCCATGTGATGAGTGTACACAGCAAAACCAAATGCCCTAGGTTTCTAAGCTGCATTTGTTTCCATCAAAATTGCAATACTCTGGGTATATGAAGTTTAATAGGTATTGGTCAAGCCCTGAAACATTGCCCCCAGCTGTGGATATTAGACACCATTAGAGATAAAGTGATTGATTACTAAATCTATTAGCAGCAAACAATCAGATGTAACCTTTATAGATGATGAATATATTGATCTTATACCCTGGAACTGTGATTTGGCAGTTAATACTGTGGAAAGTCAGACTAGGTTACTCAAGTTCTCAAAGAACTAACTTCAAGGCAGAGTAAAATTGTCTGCTAGTTATCTTCAATTTCTAACAGTGACCAGCTATTGGAGAAAGGGATTTTAAATATCCAGGAAGAAGTGGGACCCAGTTCTTGGTAAAATCAGTCCCTTTTCAAGAGCCAGTTTTGTATAGGAAGGAAGAAAATGTACATTTCCCACTTAGATAAGCTTCCACTGAGCATATTTACCCATTTTAGGCATTAGTAAAAGGCAAAAGTAAAAGATTTAATCTTGAGCAATTAATATTGTAAATGGATTTTGGATGAGCACAGACAATCCAGTATTTTCTTTTATCCAATATCATATTTTGTAAAATACACAGAGGATAATAATGTATGCGTTTGGGAATCAGAGACTGAGTGAGAAATCTGGGCCTAAGAGTGTCTAGCCAAGCTACCTTGAGCAGGTCATTAGCATCTCTGAGCCACAGTTCTCTAATCTTTAAAATGGATGTAATAAAGCCACACAGGACCAGGAGTGCACTGGGCGAGCTATTTCACAGAAGACAGGGAAGTCTCCATAGAGTGGTGTGGCCGGTTCTGCTCGGTGTGGAGCAGGAGCACGGGAAGCTAAACTGCACGGTCTGGGGACAGCACAGATCTCCACACAAACTGGATGTAGATGCCCTGCTTTGTGTTTTCTGCTCCCTAAGCAAGAGAACTGGTCTGACAGAGTCACACAGTCTAATCCACTTTGTTTAGGATTTTGGAAAACAAGTATACCTGCTAAGAGTTGCCTGCCATTTTGGGTGAGTTGCACAAGAATGATTTGAAAATACTGTACTATATTTAGGAAAGATGTCCATCTTTTGAAAGGATGTGTGATTTGCACATTAAAAATATATATTAGTAGCCAGGTATGGTGGCACAGGTTTATAACCCCAGCACTGGGGAAGCTGAGGCATGAAGATTGCTGCAAATTCAAGGCCACCCTGGACTACATAGTGAGTTCAATTCCAGCCTGGACTACATAGCAGGATGCAAAAAATCAAAATAAATAAAATGTATATTGATGATAATAATCCTCTATGACTTTTGCATGCAAAAAGTCTAAAGGAAAATGTTTTACACATCAGTCAGATCCCAGGAGTCAGATTTTCCAAACTTGTAGCATTTTTAGAAACTAGTATGTGTGACACATTGGACACTATGAATAGACAATATAAAGCTGGATCATTCATATTCATATTTTCTCTCTCTGTCTGTAATCTCAATAGATATTGTAGTGGCTTACTCCATGTCAGATTGTCTCAGACTTCGGTTTTTTTTCTTCTGACTAGACTTCAGTTTCCAGTGATTTATTGGGGGAAAAAAGGTGAATATGGTCTTACCACGTGCCGGGGGGACGTGTCAGCGCTAGGGAATGAAAAATAAAGGGGACTCACTCTGTTGTTGGAGAGTTTACAGTTTACAAAAGGAGACTGACTCAAAATCCAGTGGTGTAGGTGTGAGTGACAAGTGTGACGTTTCACGTTGGCTTTGAGAGGAACAAACAAGCGAGGTCCACAGGTCGGCCTAGGAGTATAGGAGAAAATTAATGGTAATGACAACGATGATAATAACTGTATTAGTCAGGTTTCCTGTTGCTGGATACAATACCTGATGCCCACAGCCTAAAGAAGGAGAGCTTTCATTGGGTCACAGTTTCAAGGAATTCAGTGCATAGTCAACTGACTCCAAGGCAGAAATGTGGTAGAAGAACATGGTAGAGCAAAGCCGCTTAGCTCATGGCAGCTGAGAAATAGAGCATGGCAATGGTGCCAGGGAAGAAGGAGCAGGGAGCATGGGTAGTACCCAAGGTCAACCCCCATGACCCACCCAGACACACCCAGAAGTGTGCTCCACGAATCCCCCGGGGAGCTCCTGACACCATCAAATCGACACAATCAAGCTTAACAGTCACTAACTGAAACCAAATTTGTTGAGTACTTGAAACATGCAACTCACTTAATGTGCACCATTCAAATAACACATTTAAAGATTCTTTTAAATGGGGATATAGCTCAGCAGCACAAGTGCCTGCTTGGCAAACCCAAAGTCCTGAGTTGGATTTCTGGTACAAAAAAGAAAAAAAGATGAACAAAAAAACAACTTATAAGGTAGATATAGTTATCCCCATTTTTCAGAAGAAACTGAGGCTTAGAGAGCTTAAGAACGCACAGGACTGAGATAAATGGTGACTAGGGGCATTTCCACATGCTACGCTTTATCTCACTTTAATCACTGTCTTCTCTTTTAAACTGCATAGTTCCCTGAATTGTTCCAAAGCCGGAGAATGCTAAGCTGCTGACTAACTGATCTAGAAAGTCAGGGCTATCTTAACTACTCAGTTACATCATAATTTTGACTCTAATTGTTTATGCAAAGGACAAAAAGAACCCCAAATTCAGAGATGGGACATAACAGCATTTAAGCAAAGGTAGTTTTAAAACGTATTTTATTTGTGCATATTTTGTTGTATTTCAGAGCCTTTTGAATGGACTGATGTGTTCTAAGCCTGAAGATCCAGTAGAGTACTTGGAAACTTGTTTACAGAAAGTAAAGGAATTAGGTGGCTGTGACAAGGTGAAATGGGACACATTTGTCAGCCAGGAAAAGAAGACCTTACCTCCACTAAACGGGGGACAGTCGCGGAGATCCTTTCTAAGAAATGGTAACGTATATGCAGAATGATAGGTTTCCAGGCAGAGCAATTCTCTTTAAAACACACCATGGAGGCTACAGACCATGACTTAATTTATTAGGGTTGTAAATGCCTGGGAAATTATGAGTCCTTGGAACATGATTAATCTCTTTCTGCTACTAATTCTAATCACCTCCATAAGACAAACAAAATTACACACTATTGTCCAGCAATTTGCTAAAGACTTAATGAAATTTTATATTACTGACTCCATTATTTTGTAAAATAAATTATATTAACAAATCCTGAATTTACTTTTAAATTGCAAACTGGCTTTTTCCTAATACATGAGTAGAGTACAGATAAAATTGGTAGCTATTACATAACAATGTAACATTTTTCATTAGCTAGAAAGAGATTTGTTTTATTAATGTTTCCAAGTCCAGAATTCATATTAATAAGTCCACATAAATGCATATAAAGTTTACACAAGCTAATTTTAAAAGATTTATTAAGCTGCTCTTGAATGTGATAGATTAGACAATGGGGTGCTATAAAAGAAGTGAACTTGTTTAAGTTTTAGGACTTTCATAAGAACTAGAGAAGATTCATGGTGTTCTGATTTCTTTCTGAAATATGTGTTTGTCGAAATCATGGGTTCACAATGAGCCAACTGGCCTTTCAGACTCCGGATGTAGTGTGAAGTATAATGGTATGTAAAGAGTCAAATCAATAGCAGTCAGAGAAAACTAAATCCATTCTTTTGTAGTGGCCAAACTCATTCTATTTTAAAAACTTAAACTTAAAAATACCACAGAAGGTTTCAGCTATATCTGCTGTCTTTGTTACTTTTCTCTCATTGCTGAGACAAAATATCTGACATCCAGAATTAAGGAAGGAAAGGTTTATTTAGCTCACGGTTTGTGGCGGTTTCAGTCCATACTTGGCTGGCTTCAAGGTAGAGTGGCACATGGCAGAGGGCAACAGTTCATGGCAGCAGCTGAAGATAGCAAAGGTAACAAGAGCAAAAGGGGAGGAGGGGCAGAGAGAGCAAGCTTCTTTCCCTCACTTACATATGCAAACTATCCACCCCAGGGTGGGTGTAGCACTCACACCCCTAATCCAAGCATTGGATCATGGATCGATCATAAACTCTAAAAATCCACCCCATGACTGCATGAGGCTTTGGGGGCACCCCCAGACACAAACCATAACATCAACAAAATTTGAGTTGGAGACAATTCTATTTGAGATAAATTCAAGAAGGAAACAAATCATAAATCTGTTCAACCTTATTCAGTCATGATTGATTTAGATTTTACTTAAATGTGGCATGGGAAAAAGTCATTATATGATAATTTTTAAGAAGCACAAGCAGAAGGAAAGAAAAAATACCATTTCCTCAGAAACATATCTCAAGGGGCGAAGAGTCTGTCCCCACCCAGGCAGGAGTCAATACTGGTGGTTTAGGTTTGGGCACTCATATGCTTTACTGAAGATGGTGTGACTTGCCACCACCACCACCAAATTTCCCAGTTTTGTTGAGAAGCAACTGAGATCTTTGGAATTACTATTTAAAACTAACTTCAGAAACTTTCAAATGTTCTAATGGATACCACCCTTCCCTGAAAAAAAAAAAAAAATGAAATAGTTGGAAAATATTTGGTGTGACCATAAAGAATAAGGTTAATATCCCAAGTTTTTGAAAGCATTTGACCTCATTACTGTACAAGGTCTCTCACTCTGCTTCATCTTAGATAGATGGTAAAACATCACTCAGTACATAATAAGCCATGTCATTACATTCTGTGGTGAGTCCTAAGGTTGAGGTCATGTCTTCATATGCTTGCAAAATTGAATTAGCACCGAATATTTTGATTTGACCCACAGAACCATCCAATTCTAAAGAAATTTTTACTCTTCCAAAGACCCAGTTTCTAGCTAATAGCAGGATGTCAGTTCCAAGCTGAAAACTTCAGTCTCTGTAAGTCAGTCAGGTTCCTGGCTTACTGAGGGCAGTGCAGGACACACAGAGAATCAAGTGAACAGCACTGCAAGCTAGGGCTCCAATCCAAACTGCGTACACACAGCTTAGATTTGGCACCTCTGCAGCCTGCAGTCACCGGAGCAGCTTTAGCACAGTTACTGCTGCAGCGTTCTTCTTGGTACATGCCTGCTTTTGGGTGAACAAAGTACTTTAGTGTCCTTCAAAAGTTCGTAAACCTCCCCCAGACGGCTAACTCTCCCCTCCCCACCAAGGTATCAAGCTGCTAGAATCTGGCCCAGCGTCAAATATATGCTTCATGCCCTGCTAGATAAATTAAGACAATTCTAGAGAACTAATACATCTCAGGCATTACTAGATTTAGCTTAAGATATTTTGCCATGTTAAAAATCAAATCTAGGAATTATGAAATTCAGTTAGTTCTAAGACTGGTATGGAAAATAATAATTTACAACAAAGCTAAACCTTGCTGTGGCTACTCTGATTGATGTTACATGGAAACCAGGCAAGCCAGAAGTATAATAGAGAATAGTGAGGGCCGAGGCCCAGTGAGAGAGCAGAATTAGAGAGAACAGTCATCTAAAGCACTCATATAAATGTTTGAATGATGTCAAGCTAAACAAAACACATCTATGGGCCATATTGTATTCATGAGTGACCAGTTTTGCACCATAATAAATGGAAACATGAAAGGAAAATTCTGTTTCCACTGGCATTAAAATTAACTACTTGTTCATTTTAGGGTTTCCATGCCTTCTAATGCTTTTCAGGTTCCGAGTCAAAGGCCTTTTCATTAATGATCCAATAGAACCTGTCTGTATCCCACTTGGATCCCAGTTGTATCCCACTTGGATCCCAGTTGTACCCCACTACCTGGACTATATGCTCAAAAATGGAAACTATTTTCTAAACTGATTTATCCTGTAATGATAATATTTTATATATGAAATGTTTTACTTATTTGTCCTTGGTAAGTTTTAGCTGTAATCTGTGAAATAGATATTCAATTCAACAGAATTGCAAACTGCTCAGTAGTATAAAATAAAATGATTATTTCTAGAAATACAGTGGTTCATGAACTTGACATACATATGTTAACATATAATCATCCTGAAAAACTATTCTATCGCATAAAAATATTTTTGCTACCTAAGCAAATTATTTTCCTAAATTAAAATATGACAAGGCAAAATAAATTATTTGCTGATAGTTCTTTGACATGTTAAATCGGAGATGAGCATTCTTTGTTTTTCCCCTTTCATTTACATACAACTGAACAAATAATTTCACGTGAATAGGAGTTCTGGTCTCAAATATCTGTAAATATCTTCTGGATTATCTCATTGTCATATTGTCTATTGTCAACATGTCCAAAACCAAATACATACACCGTATTTGCATCAAAACTAATACTTCTCCTTTTCTTTTTTCATGAAATCCATTACTGAGTCCACTGGACAATAAAATAACCATTTATTGAGTGTGTGCTAGATATTCTTTTAGGACTGAGGCTGCAGCCATCAAGAATAGACAGTCCCCTCAGAGAGTTTACAGTCTAGCAATAAAATCAGGCATTAAAAATTAATTAGCAATACTACAGGAAATATCACGTGCTATGGAACTGACCATATGAACCAGGGGCTGGATCCGACCTAGGCAGGGGTGCAGGATAGGCATCCTAGAAGAAGTGATAGGCTATTCATGTCCATTCTAACCTCCATCAGATTAACTGTTCTAAGAAATCTATTTCATCCTATCAGTCTCTAACTGTCCCCAAAATACCTCCATTGATTTCACCCAATTAAAGCTAAACATTTCACTCTGATATTAAAGGCTTTTCACATTGTGGCCACGTTCTACCTAGCCTTGTTATCTCCTGAATTTTCTTTATGGGAAAATATCTTTTTCAGCAAAGTGTTCTCTTCGTTGTTAATTAGCAAATGTTTACTGGGCACTGGCCATCTGCCAAGTGCAGTACTAGATGTCAAGGATTCAGAATTCCAAAGGATAAGTAAAGTTCCTCTCTTGTGGTACTTATGATCTAGTAGAAGACAATGAATGAATGAATGAATGAATGAATGAATGAATGAATGAAACTCTCATTAGAGTGATGTTCCTGAGACTTGAGAGATGGCTGCACAAGATTAGAAAATCAGTGAAGTCCCCTACAGGAAGTGACATTTAAGCTGAGGTGCAAATGACAACTGGATTGTGGGCATGAATATGAAAGTAAGCAAGCCAGAGAAGAACTTGTTACAGTAGTCTAGGTAAAAGGTGAGGCCACCTTGGGAAAAGGTAGTAGAAGTGGAGATGAAGAAAAGAACATGTACATTTGGAATATGTCTTGGTGATGCAGCCTATAGGAGTAGACATGATAAGTCGGGGAAGAAGGTAATCAAGGGTAACACTTAGGGTTCTGCCTTATGTTGAGTGAAGTAATTAAATTTCAAGGTAGAGCAGGTTACTTTTATCAGTACCTTCCCTGACATAGCCTTTCCCATCATTTTCTAAAAGACTGTTCACTATCACCTGAGGATTACTCAACTCTTTTTATGAAATTACAGTAAGTCTAGTAAGTCAGTGGCCAGGGGCCTCATTTATTTTATCAACAGAGAATGGAAAGTTGTAACTGATCGACACCCTTGGGAGGAGATTCCAGCACTGTGTCGTACTTAGATTCAGGAGCTACTTCAGCAGAAACCTTCATGCAAGGCCAAGTGGAATCCTGTTTGTCGGGTACTCTTTGGATAGTTAGGGCTTCTCTGTGCCTCCCAAGATACTGACACCTAGGGTGCAGGAGCCATAAACCATAATCACAATAGGCAGAGACCATCTGTCTCCCTGATTTGGGCTTGTCATGTCTGTCTTCTGGTGTTTTGACTAAGGCATTTGTATCTCAGACTCTGTGTCTTGGTATTAGGCCTGCCAACTGGGATATACGTTCTACATTTCATCACTTGTGTTGTCTGTCAAAGTTGTGGTTCTGCCTCTTTTGCAAATCCTTTCCTACCATTCCAGCCCAAATGGATTCACCCATTCTTTGATCTTTTATGGTGTTTACCATGACAGATTTTCATTCTAGCACTTTTGCCTGGTGTGCATGCCACTATCAAATATAAGCATAGAAGCTTCAACTTGTAAGCACTGAAAAGATATCTTACTGTTCTACTGAATCACCCTCAACACATTCACATGTCTGGCATTATGGCAAATATTTGTTGCCTTTATAGACTTAAATTTATTTATTTTAAAAATAAAAGAAGAAAACATTAACAAACATACATCCATTTACAAAATAGCATAAGAACAATACAAAGAATACAGAGTTACAGACAGAATGGTAGGAAATTAACAATGGTTGTTGTATTACATATTGATATCTTCACAGTGGTTTCTCAGGAAAACAAATAGAGACATGCAAGATTGATCAAATAAGTAATCATTAACTGTTCCTTTCAGTAAAGCGATAGAAGTCAGTAGTACAACTATGTTATCCTGTATATACATACATACATAATTTCCCCTTCTTTCTTTTCTCTGTTCCCTCACCCCAGTTGCTCTTTACTTTTGAGCATTTTCTTTTTGTTTCACAATGTCTATCATACCTCCTAATTTTTATTCACTCTTTCAGATTCTTACACTAGTGAGACACATGGAGGTCTGGTTTATTTCACTTATGAGTATGGTCTCTAGTTGTGACTATTTACCTGTAAAAGCCTGGAGTTTATCTTTTTTTATAGCTGAGTAATATTCAATTATATAAAAGTACCACAGTTTTTTAATCCATTCCTCAGTGGATGGACATTTGAGTTGCTTCCACAATTTAGCAATGATAAATTGCACTGCTATAAACATGGGTGCACATATATCACTATGATAAGGTGTTTTCAGATCTTCTGGGAAAATACCCAGAAGGGGAATAGCTGGATTATATGCTTAAACCTTTATATTTATATTTTTAAATCAAGTAAGTTAAAGATAATAGGAAAGTAAAAGTAAATGATATTGACATACGTTCCAAATGTAGAAATTATTTGCACCCTTCTAACCTAGCTTATGACTGTATTCTAATATTTTGTTTCTTCACATGCTACCAAACCATTCTGCTGGTCCTAGTCCATAGTGAGTGAATGAATAAATGATTGGATGCACAGGCAGCTGCATGTGTTTGTGAAGGTTATGTTCTGCGCAGCTCCAGGGAGCACCATTGCAGAAGCCAGGGTATATACAATCTACCAAGCAACACTAGGGAGTGTCTCAGAAGGTTCCTCTAGTGCAGTGGGTGCCAAGTCCAGCTCACTGCCTTTTTAAATAAAGTTTTATTGGAATACAAGCATGATCATTTGTTTATGGATTATCTGTGGCTTGATTTATGCTACCATGGCTGACTTGAGTATAAGACTTTGATTCTTAGATCCTAAAATATTGTCTGTCTGGCCCTTTAAGAAAAAGTTTTCTGACCACTTAAGTCTTCTTCCAATTGAAATAACAAATCAAACTCATTATTTGAACTTCTTATACTAATTGATTAAAAGTGAAAGGTGTTTTATCGTGCTTTTTTTCCTTTTCAAAGTTATCTTACTCTTTTGCAGTATTGCCTGAAAATTCAAATTTTCCATATCGGCGGTATGATCGGCTCCCTCCAATCCACCAATTTTCTATAGAAAGTGACACAGATCTCTCGGAGACTGCAGAGCTAATTGAAGAGTATGAGGTTTTTGATCCTGCTAGACCTCGACCAAAAATCATTCTTGTCATAGGTATGAGGACAGAAAGCAAAATTCTCTATCATTGCTAGTTTTATTTCTGTATTTATACAAAATGTGGGTTGTATCAAATTTGCAAGTGTTTAGTTGGGTAATGACAAGCAATAGAAACAAAAGTTCCAGGGGATAATACCTGAAAATATTTTTAGAATAATTTTCAATAGAATAGAAATCATAATCATATAACTTAATCCTTATTGCATTTTCATAGATTGGCAGTATGATGTCATATTCTTAATAATGAATTGCAAGTAATTGCTTCAAGATTTATTGTCCTATGGTTTTATTTAATCTTTAATATAGATAACTGAGTCCAATAAAATATTTGCTAAATATGAGTTTTGTTCCCCTTTAACTCAATAAATTGAATTTTTATTCCCAGTTAACTTTAAAACTAAAAGTAGATAATGACACATTGGTAGTAATTCACATAAATGAGTCTATGGCAAACCAGTACTCACAATAAAATTTAAATTTCCATATTGTTATACAAGCAAATGTAAGAAAATAGCATTTTATACCACACATAATATCTGAGTATTAACCAACATAACAAAGACATAAAGATGCCATGTCTAGGAAAAAAAATTAAGCAAACACAATGAGTTGTAATAAGAATTTAAATTGATCAGACTAGAAGGGTGATATTTACACATTCCAAAGTGAAATGAAAATCAAATTACAAATATTTTTAGTCTCTGAATTGTTAAAAACAGTATCACAGAGAGTTTAGAAATCAGCTTTTCTAAAATCACTGAGGAGCTCAGTGGGAGAACACTTACCCAGCATGCACAGAGCTCTGAGTTTGATCCCCAATAACAGCAACCACAACACACACACACACACACACACACACACAGCAAAAGTCACATTTTGAAAGGTCAAAATATTCTTATGGCTTATGAGAGTCGCTACTATACCAAAAATATCTACTCTTGAAAGTGGAATACTTTTTTGTGTGTGCCTACAAATTTGGGGTCCTTTCTTAGAAGATAAGGAGACACAATAAAAAAGAGAGCTACAAGAGGGAAGTGATTGGGAATTATTCATGACTCTATGGCTTATAGGTAGGCAGAATACAGACTCTCAATTTCATTTTCTTGCTGCTGTTAGTAAAGTACTGGTGACTGTTAGCAGGATGAATAAATGGAAGTTGATTGTCCATAAAAATGGTGTAACACCAAACTGCTATGTGTAAAAGAGCACAGATATGATTCTTTGTGCTTTGTGAATTTCATATGAAAATCAGTAAGGATTTTCATATGAAATAAATATAAAATATAAATATAAATAAAAGCATATAATAAAAATATAAAATATAAAATCTTTGGAGAAGATACAAATCTTCAAGTCTCACCTACTTCATGGTTCTTTTTATTCAGTGAGATTAACTTGCTTCCTAAGGATGTGATTCTGGTTACAGAATTTCATGCTGTACATCTCATGAATTATAAGAATGATCCAGAACTAACGAGCATAAATTTTCTAGGGTTGGGACAAGACAGACAGAAAGGAAAAAGTGAACCTTAAGTTTTCTGAGAAAATTAGGGCAATTTTATGACTTGAGGAATTATGAAATAATTGTACCTGAACCTTTCAAATTTTTATTAGCTCCAACCCGAAAAAAGTGTGAAGCAGAAAGAGGGGCCCACATGCTACTACACTTAAATAAACAAAATTTTCCTTCTGAAACTATAGAATTTTGTTTAAAGCTGGCTGTTTTGGTACAGATATGAATCTCTTATATTAATGTAATCATAACAGTAGTATTTATAAGTATTAGAGGTAAAAATATTAAAGTCATTCTGTGATTAGAGAGAAAGTAAAATTAAGTTGTTAAGAAGTTTTAGTAATCAGTCAATAATTAGTGCTATTCTTACTAATGCACCAATCTTATATTTTCTTTTTGGTTTGTTTTCTGTTATTACCTCCAAAAGTAAAAGTATTTTTTCCAGAAGGTGCCTAAACTTTCTAAATGTGTTTGAATTTTTTCATTTAATGGAATTTCTAATCTCTGGGTTTGACGGTTTATGAGGTCAAGTGGAAATAACTATATTCTGAAAGATAGTTTTGATTCTTTAGGTATTAAATCAGATTGAATCTGTCAATTGAGTTGGTCATATAATATTTTTCTTCAAGCCAGTCCTTGAATAGCCCGTGTTAGTAGGTCAAAGCAGCTATTGGGAATCAAACTGGCTTTTGAATTGCAAAGTAAAGAATTTAATCTAGAGAAGCAGAAGCAGTTTACCACAGTAAACTAAGAGAAGAAAATGTAGAGTCTCCTAGAACAGCATGGTCAAAAATGTAAGCAATTCCTGTACTAAGTTTAGTAAAGCAATAAAAAAGTGAACTCTAGGTATTTAGTTCATTATTTGGGCTTGGGTTCAGAAATTGTTCTACTTATATTAGTTAGCTGGCAATTCTGCTAACCAAATCTGTCCACTTTTTCTTACAAAAAAGCAGATCTTTCTCTTTAACTTATATTATTTGAAACACTAAGAAGTACTAATTAAATTAGATATAAAATGACTTCACACAAAAATTTTCATGTTCGTAGGAAAAATATTCACTCACTTTTGTGTTGATTTTTATTTTCAGTGTTGCCTAATAAATTATAATCATTATGTTTCAGTGAATATTACCAAAACATTTCATTACTTATTAGACACTGAATTTTTAAAATACTTGCTTATGTTCAGTAATTTATGCACAAGTCTTTGAAAAAGCTCAGTTTGTTACCAAATAACGGCAAACTGGGCTGATTGTTATATGCTTGATTTTAAAATGTATTCTGGCTCTAGATTCTGTTGTTCAGAAATATAAATTAACTAAAATTATTCTAATGTAATTTGAAAATAAAATCTAAGGTGTGTAGTAACATTTTGATTATTTCATGTTTTTAAAAACTAAATGGTAATGCTGATGATTATTGTTATGTTACAAAATGTTGATTATTTCATACTAATATATTGCACACTTAAAGTTGTGTGAAATTTTTCTATCTGGAAGACCTATTCCATTCACTCTGCAGTCATTACATAAAACTTTTGAATTCAAAGGAGAGAGTCAAGAACAGGCATGAGTAAACATTTCAAAATAAACCGATTTAAATAAGCTGTGTCACTATTGGTGTGCCCTTGATTTAAAAAAAGTTACAATTCACCAAATTACATATTAAGTCTTTATTGGTATGGTACGCATTTCGGTTAGTTTGATCACTGTCTTTTGTAGCCCATAGATTTTTCTTTGATTATAGAGGGGAAAATATAGATTTTATACAGAAAAATGTCAACGTTTCTTTCAATTGCATTGTTTTAAAAAAAGTTTTTGGATTCTGGGGGTTAAACCAGGGCCTCCCACATGCTAGGACGTACTCTACCACAAACTCCATACTGAGCGCCTCCCCGAGGTATTACATTACCCTGTGCGCATGCGCGCCAATGTGTGCTTGTGAGCATGTGCGCGTACGCACCTGAGTGGTGCTCAGAATCCAACTAAGGGCCTTGCGCATGCTAACTAGGTGGTCCATTGTTGAGCTACAGCCCAGCCCAATTACTAGAAATGTTTCTTTCTGTTTATGCGGTTGGTGAAGGCAGTTCTGTCCTTTCCTTGGCTCTCAGGCTGCTCTTGCTCTGCATTCAAGCGGCACTGAGAATGCCACCAACCCAACGTCTGCCCACGCTGGTACTGGTGATCCAGAACCCTCGTCCCAGATGCGAGTGAGTAGTAGTGGTCTAAGAGGAGCTCCATATTGTGTCTGACGGTCACCGTTTTGCATGTTTTCACTAATAGGGGGTCCCGGAAGTGGAAAAGGTACTCAGAGTTTGAAAATTGCAGAGCGCTATGGATTCCAGTACATTTCAGTGGGAGAATTACTGAGAAAGAAAATCCACAGCGCCAGCAGCAACCGAAAGTGGAGCCTCATTGCCAAGATCATTACGAACGGAGAACTGGCCCCGCAGGTACTGCTGTCTGATTTGCTGCTTTTCTGCAAAAACGTTGACACCAGTTATGAGGGTACTAATTTTAACTGGGGTTCCTCGTTTTTTCTGTTTATAAAAGGAAACAACGATTACGGAGATAAAACAAAAGTTGATGCAAATACCCGATGAAGAGGGAATCGTTATTGATGGATTTCCACGTGATGTTGCCCAAGCGCTGTCTTTTGAGGACCAAGTAAGTCTGTTTCCGTACATTTTAAATGACCTACTTTTTGCTTTCAATTTTGAGATTTATTTTTTAAAGAGAGATTTCTTGGAAGACATACCTTTTTTTAATGAATTCTGCTCTGAAACAGGCAAATATATCAGTATGGGTTGGCAGAGGGTAATTCCCTTGGCAAAGGCTTAAAAATTTAAGACAGTCTGCCAAAAGAAAAGAAAAAACCTTGTAACACAGTTCATTATTTTTATTAAAAAAGGAAAATCTCTCTAAACTTTGAGAATACAGAAGATTACTTTTTATATTTCATTTCTAAAAATAACCCTTATTCAGTAATGTCCAGGGATATAAAACATCATTCTGTACCTATGATCTTGCCAATTAAGAAAGCACTCTTTGTAGGGCTGTAAGATCCTGTACTTCCTACCTATTAAAATAGAGCTGGGGATATAGCTCAGCGGCACAAGTGCCTGCTTAGCAAGCTCAAGGTTGTGAGTTTGATTCCCATACCAAAAAAAAGAATAAAATAAAATAGAATTCAGTTGCCAAAATTTCCAAAAATCTGAGTTGACTATGCCTGCTCAATGCCTACTACATCTGTTTTAAGGGAAATAAATAAAATATTTTGCATCTCTAATCTTCTAAAAACTTACATTCATTTAAAATTTGATTACAAAAATAATAAAGGTGCACAAAATTTTTCTGAGTCAGGATCTCACTGTGTAGTCTAGGCTGGACTTGAACTCACAGTCTTCCTGTCTTTGGATATACGTGCAGCCCAACGTGGTCATGCACACAGTGGTCCAAGTCCTTGGACAAGGTAGGAAAGGAGGACTGCAGATTCAAGCCCAGCCTTTGCAACCTTATGACTTAGCGAGACCCTGCCTCAAAATTTAAAAATACGAAAGACTGGGGATATAGCTCAGAGTGAAGGCCTTGAGTTCAACCGCCAGCATCATAAAACAAAACAAAACAAAGCAAAAACAAATGAGTCCCGTTAAAAAGGTGAGTCCATTAATACCTAATACTCTGCTTCCGGCCACTGCCCCTCTTCTTAGCAGTGGAAATTGTTTGGTTTGTTATATATTCTCCCAGGTCTTTTTCTAGACTTCCACACATATAGACACAGGTGTACACACACATGAGCAGTTGCATTTTAGATTTTCATACCCTTTTCCAAACCATCTTCTAATAATACTTCTCCAAGTTAAACTCCCATCAGTGGCGAGTGAGAGTGTCTATTTCTCTGGACCCTTTCCAACTAGATAGAATTCATGTTCAAACTTTTTGCCAACCTGGTAACTAAGAAATGGCGTCTCACTTTTAAATTTACATTCTGGGGGTTACTGTGAAGCCTGGTACTGTACATATTTGTACACTTAGTGACTTTTCTTCTGTGAACTGCCTGCTTCCTTTTGCCCATTTTTCTAGGCTTGTTTATCTTTATTTATTTGGAGGAATGCTGAATGTTTTGCAGATGCTGTATCAGAAAGGATTAGGTGGAAATAAGAATTAAGTTTACTTCTCACATAAAAAAGAAGCCTGGAGTTTGGCAGTTCAAGGCAGGAGGGTAGCATTGTGACGTATCCCTCTGAATATTCCAGTTCACCTGTCTCACTGTGAGTCCTGAACCTCTGGTGCTCTGTTTAAGGGCTTGGTGTAATTTATGTGGCCATGAAGAGAGAAAAACTGGACAACATTGCTCAATTTTTTATTTTTGCTGTGACCGCCACATCACACTGCTGTTGAAGATGGGAGTAGTTGCAGTCATTCCATGTGATTCTTGGTTGAGTGTGATGGAGACAGTTAGGCATTGCCACCAGACCTGGCCTGGCCCATGTGTTAAGTGAGCTGCGCATGGTAGATACAAACAGATGGAGCAACTTGCTGCTTTTGCTTTTTCTTTTTCTTTTGCTTTTGCAGGGGAGGGGTGAAGTCAGAGCCTTGCGTGTACCAAGCACACGTTCCACCACTGAGCTTCACCTCCAGCCCCTCTCTGCTGGTTCTTAAATATGCTGTTAGTTATCTCTCTTTGGTCCTAGGTAATAACTCAGGCAGATCCTCTGGTTTTTATACACACTTAAGAAACACCAACAGATAATCTCATTCTTAGCTACTGAAAGGTCTCACCCAATCTAAATCAAAATTGCGATTTCTCATTCAGTTTAACATATCTCCATGCAGAAACCTAAAGCGGTGTTTCAGAATCCTGAAGTCCTTCCTCTGTAACAGTGGAGTTGAGGTGGGAGGGGAGGAAGGAAAGGGCAGGAAACACGTAGCTCTCCCACAGCTCTCTGGGCACCTCAGAGATATCTCATCCTCTCTTGGAGAGCAGGGATAAGATGCTGTGCCGAGGTCACAGAACTGGTTTGGGAAGCAGTAGCAGGATGGATAGTCTGCTCTCTCTGAGTAGAATCTGCAATCAGTGGGATTTATTTTCCTCGTCCACACTTCTGAGGTTGGAAAAAAATCCGCTTTAACATGTTAGGTCGACACTGTAACAACCTAGAGTTTCTTGCCTAAAGTTGTTGTAGCACCATTGTGAACCCTGGAAGAGTCAGGTAGGTGCAAAGGTAAAGCCTGGGTGTTTACCCACACTGTCAAGGTCAGGCCTCTTCCCTCACAGTCTGCAGTAGGGTCTTGTTTGGAGCCTCAGTGGGGTCTTCTGACACCTAATATGTGAGGGTTTCCTGCACCAGAGTTCCAGTTCTCTGACACCAGCTAGGTGTTGAGGAGCCCAGTTCACTTTAGACCTTAACTACCCAGAGTTAACGTGGACTGCACATGGGACAGATTAAGGCTTAGTCCCATAAGTCAGCTCCCGTCTCAGACATGAGTGTCAAGTCCCAGCAACAACCTGTACTTTGGATTAACTGGCTATAAATTTGAGGGTTCCCACAATGCTCTGCACAGTTTGGATAATTTGCCAGAATGACTCAGAGAAATCAGAGGAAAAAAACTTCACACATATTTAGTGCTCTATTATAAAGAGAAGAACAGGAACATCCAGATGGAAGAAATAAAGAAGGCAAGAAATAGGGGTGCAAAGTAGGGGTGCAGAGCTTCCAGGCCCTCTCCGAGCATGCCACTCTCCTCGTGCATGGATATACTCACCAATTCTAAAGCTCCCCGAACCTCCCTGCAACACTCTCCATCCTTCTTCCCCTCCTTTGTGGCAGGGGCAGGGCTAAAAGTTCCCACTCTCTAATCCCAGGTTGGTTCTCCTGGCCAGCCCCACCCTGAGGCTCCCTATGGTCCTCACTTCATCAGTGTAGAAGCTCCTGACTTGGAGTAATGAATGACACTCCTGTCACTCAAGAAATTTTAATGACTTTGGAAGCTCTGTGCCAGGAACAGACTATATATTTGTATTATATCACAACTTCTCAAGGTTCAGAATGGCCAGCTCACAAGAGCACAAGGCTAGCTGGTAAGGATTAGCTGAGGTGGGCCGGGGTCCAGTGAATCATTATCTCAGTTCTGGTTCCATAGGGTACCAGTCACTAGAGAAGCAGATTTAATGCAAGACACATATAAATATATGAGGATTTACAAGATAGGCTTATAGTGGCTGCCACAGAGTCAGGTGTGGAAGAGTGCAAAAGGGCTGTCTGTACACACAGGATCCAAGGATCCAGTTCAGGGTTGAGAACCTGGAGCTTGGTGCTGTGTCCTGTGCAAGTCTGTATCAAGAGGCCAAAGGGTCTGCAGTGGAAGCCAGGAAACAACGTCCAAGGTGAAGGTTAAGACTGGAGCTCATCTGAAGAAACAGAATTGAACCTTCCTTCTTCATTTCCTTTTTATCCCATTCAGGCCACCATCCTATTGGTTGGTGTCACTCACACCTAGGGCAGGTCTTCTGTGTTCAGGAAACCCCTTCAGTCACACCCAGAACAGTGCTGACCCAATTTGGTTGGATGTTTCTTACTCAAGTTGACACAATCAGCTAAGTATCACACACAGCTCTGGTGGAACTCTTACGGCTTTCAGGGCAGTGCTATTCCTATTTCTGCATTATCCTTGCTTGAGAGGGTGCAGCCTTGGTTCTTACTAGGGTAACTGCTCCTGCTTAGGGGAAGGTGATCTCATCAGGGGTGGTTTACAAGGCTCAGCTTTTCTTGGAATCTGTGGTATCAACAATTTAAAAACTTCTAAGGCATCGCTCCAGGGCAGTCTGCAGTTGGACAAAAGCTGGTGCTTGCGTGACTTTGAACATCACTGTAGGGGCTCCTACCCTGGTGTCCTCAGTCTTGAGAGAGACTGGGTAAATGTGGAGCTAATAATCCTTGCAGGACAGGCTTTCTGTGGGATTAGCAGGCTCAATGCAGAGCTGAGCTAGGCTCTGCCCCAGAGTTTTGAGGAACAAACACACATTGAGTTTCTTGGTGTCCGCTCTATCTATCTTGATCTCTTCTGTCCTAACACCGTTCCTTCCTGTTGTTTTTCTGTCATCTCCTAGGTCACTGTCATTGTCATACATGGTTGAAGCAGGGTTGCCACCACATATGGGTCCCAACTGACACAAAAAAGATGAGAACATAAAGGTGTAAAGTCACAGATCTGGAAGTGACATTGTCACTTAACCACATGACATGGTTTACATTGTGCAGAAGACTGGCAGCTACGGTCCCTTTGGGCAGCCGTGTGCCTGGGTATCCCCTGTACTGAGGAGAGTGTGGAGAACCCTTTGCAGCTCCTACCGCTTGCCCCCAGCCAGGCCAGTGCCCTCCTGCTGCCTTCTTCCCCCTGTGGAATGTGCTCACCATGTGAGGACAACAGCTTGGGTACCGTTACAGAATCCAGAACTGTGAAGCTCTATCTGATGTCCAGTTTCCTTCTTTAGGTCCAGATTTGACCCTAAAACTCAGTCACTTATAAACTGAATTTCAAGTTTTCTTCCTGTCTGTCACTAATAAAATGTGGAAGAGCAAGACTAGGGAGAACAGAGTAAAGCCTCCTATTCAGAAAAAGGGGGGCTTGGGGATACCTATGGCATCATTGAACAACATCTAAGG